TTTTTTTTGGCGGGGTTCTCCTGGTACAATTCACATTCCAGGGCCTAAATATCACGTTATTGGGGTCGCTTCAACCTGCTGACATAATAAACAACCAGCGGCAATCGCGGATTTGGCAACACTGGTCCGCAAACTAGGTTTCGTATAATGCTGAGTTCACACTGCACGATTTTTGCCCGATTTTTCACTCGCCGACAGGTTTTGCGAACGTGCAGTGTGAACACAGCAACAACTGAATGCTACCCCAGATAGTCGTTCAGTGTGAAGCCAACAGTGATGCAACGTCTTTGAAAATCGTGCAGTGTGAACTCGGCATAACTCCTCCCCGAACTTCCCACTGCCCTGTATCTTGGTCTCTCATTGGCTGTAGGTCATCGCTGATGTTTTTTTCAGTCAGAACTCATTTCACACAGCCTGATTGTGAATCGCGTGAACGAGCACCGATTTGCCTCCGATTTCGGGCATTTGTCGGCGATTTCACAAAACCTGTCGGCGAGTGAAAAATCGGGCTAAAATCATGCAGTGTGAACTCAGCATTAAGCAAACTGGTCAGCAAACGAGCTCAGAGCAGGTTTACTCGGGATCCAATGTTGATCTTGCGACACGGTTACTGCACAGCGCAGCGAGATCCAGTGAGAAGCGTTTGAACTCGCCGCAGAATGTTATGAACAGATCAAACAGCACTGACACAGAAACCCAGAAGCAGAACACTGACTATAACCATGTTGTTGTGGCAGAAATAGTCCAATGTTATTACATCATTAATTTCAGGGTTTTTACAACCTTTTGAGAGGGAAATCCAAGCACTTTTCAATGACTTTCAAGTATTCCACACAATTATTTCCAGCACTTTAAAGCTCTAAAATTATCCAGTTTAAATGTTATTTTTAATGGGACAAAACACAATGTACATCAAAATATAGTTTTGTGGTAAACAAACCCTTATGTAAAATTAAACTACATCAAATTATCACTATAACCAGTAGATGGCAGCACTATTTTTTGTGTATGTAGTAGGGTTGGGCCGATAGACGATGCCATCGTCCATCACCGATGGCTGACAGACATCACGATGTTGAGCCGGCATCGTGACCCCCCCCATACCCCCCGCAATCCGCCGCATCCCAATACCGTGTTCGGAAAGA